ACTTGGCTTTTAAAACGTGAATTCAAGATAGTTTTTATGACTGCTTAGCCTTAATACTTAATCTGCACACGAGAGAAAAAAATATTAGTAACACTAAGTAATATTTATTTGTGAATTAGTGTACCTGAAATTTTATTAACACGGGCAAAAAGAAATTTAATTAGCTGGATTACTGACGCCCTAATTTTTTATGCCACAACTCAGACTCATTTATGCTGGACCTGCAACAGAGGATATCATTTGTTAGAATATAGAAGTTGTCTATTGATCGCTTACCTTCCATAACACATTGTTTTTCATTATCCATAACACTGCAGTTGTCTTTGGTGAAGCTAACATTCCAGTTTTGGTCGCAAAGTTGGCTAATGCTTATGAGGTTGGCATGAAGTCCGTTTACCAGTAGCACCTTTTTCAACTTCGGTAGACCTGCAACATTTAGAGTACCTACTCCGGTTACTTGTCCTTTAACTCCATCACCAAAAGTTACTTCACCGTTGCTTGTGTTTATGTTACTTAAAAATTTTGCGTTTCCAGTCATGTGACGTGAGCAACCGCTGTCGAAGTACCATTTTTCATCCCTACCTGCATTTTTAGTGTGAAAGGATACAAAACTGATATAATCGGATTTCTTTACCCATACTTGTTTGATTAATGGAGTAGTGTACTTATGGCTATGTTTTTCGGCCCTTTGTTCTTTGTAGAAGTAATAACACTCAGGTCTAATGTGTCCTCGTAACCTGCAATAGTGACACACTGGATTATATACCTTATAGTTAAACTTGTTATGTACTGTACCTCGTGTTCGCCATGCTGAGCTAGTGGCAGGCGCTGATTCACGATATTGTTTAGCTGTGCTTGATTCAGGAGTATCTTCTGGACGTGGATAAGATGTCTTGACAAAAGTAGTTTTGTCTTTGTTGGTTCCTCCAGTAAAGCCAATACCAAACCTTGCACATGATTGCCGTCCAGAACCAAGAATTTCATCAAGAGTTGAAGTGGTATCCATCATTTGGATTTTCTTTTTGTAAGTACTCAGTTCCAGCTTCAGTTCCTTGACTCCCTGTTTCAGGTTGTCTTCTCGGTCAGTGTATTCTTTAATTAATGCGTCCCTATCTGCTACTTGACCTTTGAACACGTTTACAGCATTTTGCAATACTCTAACTTCACTAGACACTATACGATTTGCTTTAAGTAATGCTTCCCACTTGGGATACAACTTGTTAAACTCTACTTCATAAGATAAATCTGGTATTTCATGGTCTTCCGCCGAGTTGTATTCACCACCCTCCGTGTCAGATGTATCTCCAGGTTCTGAACATGTCGCAACTCTAGTAGTAAAAGCTACAAAATTACCGAACATTTCTTCTGCGCCAGAGCCAGCAGCTTCTGATTCAGGTTCGTCATTACTCCAAGTTGTGGCTGTCATGGACTTCTTTTGCCTAAGATAAGTTGGACATTCAGCTTGAACATGACCAAAGCCCTCACACTCGTAACATTTTATTCCTTTGTTGTTTGATTTTTCCCTGGAGCGGGCTGGACGTGAGGCAGCAGGTTTTGAGTTTGACATGCTAGTTTTTGTATCAGTTTTCGACATGTTTGAGCTTGCTCCTTTTTGAAATTTTTTTTTTTTGTGAATTCTTCTGAGATATCTGTTTCAAAAAATTAGAAAATTGTTTAGTTAAAAATGTAACTGGATCATCACCTGATTCGTTTAGGTTAGCAGTATCATCATGTTCTTTAGCGACAAATGCAACTGTCTTTTGTTTTTTAGTGTGATCAGTAAGAATTTCCATTTCGTAGGTTCGAAGATTGCCCATTAGTTGAGCCACTGATTTGTTCTCCCAGCCATCATGTTCTTGAATAGCGGTTACCTTCATCCTGAATCTCGGAGGTAAAGATCTTAGGATTTTTTTGACAAGTTTTTGTTGGGAGAAAGGTTTTCCAAGAGTTGTTGCTCGATTAGCTAACTCTTGTATGCGTTCGTGAAAACTCGCAATATCTTCGTCATCGTTCATACGTAGTTCTTCAAATTCAGTCTTTACCAGCTGAAGCTTTGACTGTTTGACTGAACTCGTACCTTCATAGGTGGTTTCGAGTATTTCCCACGCAGTTTTTGCACAATCAATACCTGTAACCAACGAAAATTGATTTTCATGCATTAAAGAATAGATTGTGTCAAGAGCCTTATCGTTATATCCAGCAGTAGTAATTTCAGCTTGAGTTCTCTCGGTTTCAGGTTTTATCACTGGTGGATCACCGTCTTTTTCTCCAAGTTTTGTAGGTGGTGTCCAACCAGTCAGTACTGCCCGCCAAATTAATCTGATCTCCTTGATCTTTAAGGTGAGTTCTTGTTCGAGCCTTCCAGTATGCGTAGTTGTCACCTGTAAGCTGGGGAAGTGGCCTGAACCTTTCCATTCTGAAACACTTAGCAACAAGTGAGATTGAACAAAGTAATAACAAGAAGAACAGTATTAAAAACCGCAGAACACTAAAAAATAAGGCACACGTAAAAGCCAGATCGAAAGACTAGTAACTTAAGCCTCCAGGCTCTGATACCAATTGAAATTATGCCGTGAACCTTAAACTAGCTGAACCTGAACTTCTACTTGATTTTTAAACTTATATTAGATTTTGATCGATTAATTTTTTTTTATTTAATGATAGTAAATAACAGAAAATAAAAGCAGTAAGTAAATCAAGTACACAAAGATTTGTTACGCAGTTCGGAGCGCTTCTCCTACGTCTGCGGGGCAACCCACGTCAGCCCAATCCACTATTGATGTTCACCAAGGAGTTTTACAATAGAACAGTACATTGGACTCTCACAGTCTTAACTACCATACTACAAACAACCTTCCTAACATCCAACCTGGACCGTGACGTGCATGCCTTGATAACCTTCGAACAATACTTCAACTGAGTTAGGCGCAGACAGTAGCTCAGCAGAATAATAATATAATTAATTCTCAATTCGTTAGCTGTGTTCACTTCTCATAATAGTAACTCTCAAAAAGGCAAGTTTCCATAACTGGTGACATTTCTATTTATAGCCAAATCTCTTCCATTAGATAGCCACGTGATTTTCCTCATTCCATGTTTGATTCTTTCCCAGCCACTCATTTAATTTGAACTCCCATAATATGCTTGAACCATATATTCGCATCTGACTTCCTCTTCATTGATTGTACACCACTGAAAAAGTCTCTTATGATAATTAAGCATGGTCCAAGAGTTTTTTGATTAAACCTAAGACTAAAAAATAAATTAGTCAATCGAAGGTTTAATGTGTACAAAATATGTACACTTACACAGAAGGTGAGCCACAAAGCTTGGATGTTGAGCTGCAGCAAAATCCCAACAACTTTCTCAAACGCAAAAGCTGCATCACCAAGAACTCCATACCACGTTTTCAGCGCCTCCACATGCCATAAACGCGAAGATGGCCTCCCACATCAACGAAGACGATTGCTCCGAGCTCTGCGATGTTTTCCTTCATTCCCTGTGATTTTCCTGTGACGAAGAGAAGAAGGTGAGAAATTAGTGCAATCAGTTCCGCAACCACTGCAATTCCCCGGCAAAATTGGCGAGAACCCATACTTGCAAGATCCTTGGGCACTGTAACCATGCAGGGGTAAATCTGCATGTTGCACTCGACAACGTCAAGAGGGGTGACGGCCGTGTGCGTGAGGTCGCAGTTGGGGATTCCGCCGAAGGTGCAGGCGGCACAAAACACCGGCAAGAACACCTCGATCTTCTTAGAGGGCTCCTTGGGCGCCGGGATCACGAAACCTTTTCCGCTCCTCCACCGCTGGCGGCGGCGGAACGGAAGTCCGAGATTGGTCCAAGCTGACGAGACTAGGAGACGCCAAGAAGGACGAAGGGGAAGAGTAGAGGAAGCCGGGGATCAGCGACTTGGCGTGAGATTTTTCTAGGAACGCCATACTGGATCGGAGTTTCGTAGTGTTGCAGTGTTCTGTACGTTTGCCTAGCTATCCAGATCAAAGTACACGTAAACGAAGCAACGCTCGTTAATGCTCCTTGCTCCGGCCGTTACGTTGGAATCCTCATCGATCGTGGACGTCCATACTGGAATGAATGCGCTTATCTTGGATCATCGCTGTATCGTATTTCGGCGACCCAGGTAGCAAATCAGAGAAACCATCGCGTAGAGGAGGATTGATGAATCTTATCAGATCGGCGGCGGCGACGTGCATTTGACTGTGAGAAGCTAGGTTCGTTAATATTCCAGCCGGGGGAAGACGCAGGCATTGGATGTTGATCCTATGGGATTCATTCGCAAATTATAAACGCCAATTCAGTCGTGATTTCTTGGATGGTGCTTAAGGGGGGGTTTGGTTCCAGAAGATTGCAGGGCCTTTTGGAATCTGCAGATATGGCTACAGTGGCATGGCTGAACAAGGGTGATGATACATTCAATGGTTCAAATTAAAGACTAAAACTTTAGTTGTTGCTTTTATATATATATATATATATATATATATATATATATATATATATATATATATATATATATATATATATATATATATATATATATATATATATATATATCTTCTATTATAATATAGCAAAATAAGTAGTTCCCGCCAAAAGTATGTAAAATAAATAATAAAATAATATAAAATCTATATATATGAGTATTCACGGTTAGGTTACAAAGACGGTTGAGGATTAGTCTTTTAGAATTACCACTAGCAACTGTTGAGATATAATAATTAGTGATTCAATAATTATTCACTAATTATTATTTAATGAATCCTCATTCCTTTGAGATTCCAAAACTTAGCGTGAACAAGTATATAAATAGTTCCAAAGAATACAAGTTTACATCCAACTCGTATACTACAAATCAGTTCCAAGTATACAAATCATATCAGTCGAAAATATCAATTCAAATATGCCTCCTCTCTACATTTTGGCCAGTCAGATAACACCCATGAAAATCACGTCTGCGTTGAAGGTAAGATGTATTCGTACGTATGAGGTTAGAGAACGTGGGGGCAGTGAAGTTGTCAAATGTCGAGAATGCGTGTTCCATGATCGGGAGGTAAGCATCTAATCTGTGAAAATAAATTCATCAGTTGCAAGGTAATTTGCAAAATCACAACAGTATAATTTTTTTTTTTAAATGTAATTGCAGGGTAATGTCTTACATGCTCATATACCACGCGAGCATGTTGTTAAATTTTAGAATAGATTCGTTGAAGGCAAAGTTTATTGTCTAAAAAATTTTCTGGTTGTTACTAACTTTTATACTTATAAGACTAGCAATAACAAATTTATGGTCAAGTTAAACTATTCTACAATTGTCAAGGAGTACAAAAATCAATATTTTCCTAGGCACGTGTTTCGTTTGAGAAGTTTTAAATCTTTGAAATCAACCGAGATAGACGACAAGAAACTTATTGGTAAATAATCTATTTCATTAATTTTTTTTTGATACTGCATTCCTATTTATATTGGATTTAATTCTTTGTAACTTTCGACTTTCTTATGGAAGATGAAAGGTATATTATGTGTTAGTTCACAATTTTATTATAATCCTAATTTTTTTTGGATACTGAACTGTTTTTGTGTCTTTAGTGGTGAGGAAATGAAATGCACTGTCTGGGATGACCACGTTGATAAGGTCGATTCTTGGTACAAAAAAAGTGCCACTGATCCTGTCATTATTTTGATACAATTTCGTAGGGTAAAAACTTGCGTCAACAGTAAGTTCACATCTCTACTTCATTTTATAGCCTATGTAGTTTTTTATTATTTCATTAATACAAATTATTCTGTCTTTTTCAATAGCCGGGGAAACTAAAATTTCATCTTCATATGATGCGACTCAATTATTTATAAATGAAGACATTCCTGAAATAATTGATTTTAGGGAAAGGTAAATACTACCATTGAGTCTTCAAATTTTTACAGTTTGTGAGTTTTTTTATTCTTACTTTCTGTTGTGTTCATTTTAGTATGGGTGGTAAGAAGACTCCTATGCGGAGTATTTGTTCTAACACAAGTCTTTCTCCTGCCAATACTTTTGACACTTTCAACCGTGAGTCTATGATTATGAGTACCATAAGTGATGTGTATGAGAAAAGACCGGTATTGAGTTTTCTAAAGTCTATTACTTATTATAATATAAGCAATAGTCTTCCCTAACTTTTTATTTTTAATGTATTTGAAATGTTTGATATCCAGTTTGGAGATTATTGGGTTGTCGCGAAGATTGTTGGAATAGAAAGTGGTTTGGACTGGTGTTATAAAACATGCAAAACACGGGGATGTAACAAAAACCTTTCCTTGAATAGTAAGGGCTTCTATGACTGTTACAAGTGTAAAAGAACATGGGGAGAAGGTATTTTGAGGTACAGAATTAAAGTGAGAGTTGTTGACAGGGGTGGTTATGCACCATTTCTTTTATGGGACAAGGAGTGTAAGGAATTGATAGGCATGTCGCCTGTAGAACTGAGAGGAAAATATACACAGGTAATGCACAATTACTTATTAAATGAGTTTACTTTCAAAGTTTTAAGCTTACTATTAACTATATCTAATTCTTGACTTATAGGATAAGCAACTACTCCCAAATGAGATTTTATCGTTGTGTTCCATGACACTGATTTTTAAGATTTCCGTGAGAAAAGAACAGTTTGATAACCTTCCTAATGCCTTCGCTGTTATGAAGATTATTAACGATCGTTCATTGGTTGATTCCTACTGTCCTGAATTATTGGAAAACTTTGACAATGATCCAACTTCTAAGCTAGAGTCCAAGGACTATTTTGAATCAGATGAGGTAAAATTGAAATACTTTTTACCTTATATCAATTCAAATCTATGTCTTAGTCCTATATGAAAATTAATAAAGCTTTCTTTTTTAGGAGTTTCTTTCAGAAGGTGAGGCTGAAAGTCCCCTGGCCTTAATTGGGACTGCGAAGGATGTTGAGGATCTATAGACTCGGGAGTTGTCAAAGCGTTGTCTATTAGATAGTTTTCCTCAAGCAAGACCTCTTCAAAGAAACTACCAATTGAGATCAAGTTGGAGAACAACGCTGATGATGCAGTTTGACTCTTAAAGAGAATTTTAAGTTGAACCATTGTTTTGGTGTTTCGGTTCTGGTCCCATTGAAGACATGTTTGGCTTCTTCTTTTTTTTTTTTATTATAAACTTTGAGACTTTTTAAAATCCTTAATAGTTAAGGATTTTGCTATCTTTTTCAGACTAATCTTTATAATGACTCTTTTAAAATCCTTACAAGGGTTTATCAAGTGATTGGATGATTTTTAGAGATGCAATTTATGTCAAAGTCATCTACTATTCTGGTGTCTTGGTTCTACAAGACCACAACAGTGAAGACCACAAGATGTACCTCAGGCTGGACAAACTGAATTCTAAGTCCAAAGTTCACAGTACATGAACTATGGAGTTTTTAGTTGATGTATGTAAAAGTTAGTGTACTGTTTAGCCTGTACATTGGACTAGATTGGAGTAATCTCAAGCTGATGGTTGATCAAATGTTAAGTATGAATAAGACTTACATACCATCAAATGGTATGTAAGTCTTATTTATTAACCACCAGACAGCACTACTTAATACGCAAACAGAAGTTAACACTAAATCACATTATCAGAATTGCAAGTTAAACAATAAGAAAATTAACTTTGTGATTCAAAAGGCATAGTAAAAACAGTATATTAACTTAGCTAAACGATTTGAAAATCTGTTAGCATAAACAACCAGTTCTTGAAATCCCTAATTTTTTATTTTTTATATAGTGAGGAAAACCCTAATTCAAGTTTTGAAAAATACGATGTGTAAATCTATTAATATTCTAACATGCACAACAAAACAGAGGAAGATATACAACTAAATATACCGAACCAGCAAGGAAACAAAATAAGGGATAGATGAACTTATCTGGAGATGATTTACTTCCACTGTAGTCTAAAATCAACATCGCGACCATGTTCGAAGATTGCCGACCTAAATTCACAGATTTGAAGTGCGAAACCAACAAATAAACCTGCGACTAACTCTGTAACAAGGGTTGAATTTCAGAAAATCAATCGGAACTGGTATCACGATTGGGTCATTGAACTTACTTTTGCGGTGTGTAAGAATTCCCTGTACCGTTATTTCCTGCAATAGTTCATTCAAAACAATAATTAAGCTCTATAGGACAAACCAAAATACTAACTACATACCATCAAATTAAAGTTAAAAAATCAAAAATAAAAAATAAAAAATTTGAGGTGTGTAAGAATTCTCTGTATGGTTACCTGCTGCAATAACCATTCAAAAACTTTACTAAGCTCATCAAGTGAATATATGATACTTACTTTCTGATAGTGATGCAAAGTAGATAAGAAACTTAAAATTAAATTTAAAACTAAGAAAAATAAAATTAAACCAATAAAATCTAAAACTAGGTAAGAAACTTAACATGGATTTGTATGTCAACAAGTCAGTATAAAACTGAATGTAGTGATTGGGATCCATATAAAAGGAGCATTGAGGTTAATGATAATACATAAAAAACACAATTTACAAAATCAGCTGTGATAGGAAGGAAAAGGAAACAACCTTCAGAACAATGGTACCAACTCTTCATCTTTTCTTTAATATTAGGGACAGATGTGTACAGCTTATCATTTTGTATATATGTTATTGTTAAATACATGTAATACGAATCCAACCAGAAGGCTGATGTTACTATAAACCATACATCTCATATGCCTGCGAACACAACAACAAACTGTTATATGGATTACCCTCTTCAGAAACCAAAACCATAGAGCACTGCATAGATAACATAGCAATGAATCACAAAACAACGTATAAGGCAAACTAAAATATTTAGATACAGGGCAAAAAATCTAGAAAAATCGTGTTGTATAAGGGGTAGTGAGCAAAGAAGTACACGAAGACATTAGACATAGCATACCTACTGTATACAGTGCAAAAAATTTAGAAAAGTCGTGTTGTATAAGGGGTAGTAAGCAAAGAAGTACACGAAGACATTAGACATAGCATACCTACTGTAAACACAAATTAAGATGGGTCTTAGTAATAGCCTACATATTCATAATAGAGATGAAAATTTTTTGGATCAAGGAATAGAATCATTTAAACCCGTTTGTTAAATAGAAAGTCTACTTATAAAAAAAAAATTCAAACAACAAAATGAAAGTATTTTGCTTCAAATCTGACTTTAGAACTGCGAATCTACCCAATAGATTACAAGATAGTGCAGATACTAACATAAGAATACAAAATTTGATATCAAAATTGTCATTCATGTGATCTAGAATGAAGGATTTTATCAAATATATACTTTAATGTGACTTAGTAAGTAAACAAACCCTTAATAGTTAGGGTTCACTGTATCTACTCAATTTCTTAAGAATTGTATGATAGAATTGGAATTAAGTGAGAGATATACTAGAAAACTTACCGGAATAGGGAATTTAACTATGAAATTGACAGATACTGCTAGGATGTACAGATCTAAAATGGGGATTGTAGAAATAGACAAAGTAGGCCATACGGACATAAAATCGCTAAGAAGAAGAACCCGCCATAGGATCATCTACCAGCTGAAGTATACAAACGAATTTGCTAGGTAAAATAGTAGATGGTATGGCCTTGTGTAGAACCTCTAGCACACCGAAGAAGACAGCGAGAAAGTTCTGGAAATGGAGTCAGTAGACGTGTAAAATTGCCAATTTAGATATTAGAGGGCTGTGAGGGTATTTTCGTAAATTTGATTCACTAAGCAATAATAATGTTAAATTATTTGTGTGTTAATTAATATATTAATAACTATATTATGTGTGTAATTTTCCATAACAAGCAATAATAATATTATTCTATTATTAGTGTGTTAATATATTAATATTAATACTATGTTCAAATTAATATTTTGAACAAATTAGTATACTATGTTTAATAATATTAATAGTATATAAGTAGTGGATACATGGACTAAGCTATATTATTATTATTATTATTGTTAATAATAATATCAATATATTAGGATTAATAATAATATTAATATATTTTCTTAAAACGAATTATGTATTTTGTTTTAGAAGAGACGGCCATGTGCAGTATTTGTACGCACCGCGGTTAAAATGGTGCGCCGTTAGTTTTAACGGAGCGCGCATTTGTATATGTTAATTACCAACTGACACTACAGTATATCTAAACCGACACTGTCTCACGTATTATTTTTATATTATCAAATGAAACTGCAGTTATATCAAAATGATATTGTAGTTGTGGTGAAATGAAACTGCAGTGTATATAAAATGAAACTGAATAACATTTCACATATTTGAGTGTATATTGTACAATGGAGCTGTAATTATATCAAAATGATCATGTAGTTGTGTTTCAATAAAACTATACTGTATATAAAATAAAATTAAATAACATTTTCACATATTTGAGTCTATAAATATCAAATGAAACTGTAGTTGTGTTGAACCGAAACTGCAGTGTATACAAAATGAAACTGAATAAAAGAGTTACATTTTGCAGAAGAGTGCGGAATGGCGGGAAACATATGCCGTTTCTTTTCATTAAACAAAACAACGTCGTTTTGATGCGCGGTGCATAATCTATTATGCATCGCGGTGCGCGATATAATTTGTTGTATTTGTTATACTAATTTGATTTCTATGTGATACTTTAGTAGAACTTATGCATTTTTATCTTTTAAGTAAAACTTTCTCATAAACGATTCTTATGTTAATACTTAATTAACTTAACTTAATAGTCTATAAATATTATCCGTGCATCGCACGGGACAATTACTAGTATATATATATATATAGAATCGCACTCAGGTGCGAATGCTTCGCCCAGGAGCGAAATAGGAATGGATTCTGTCCGTCTACATGTCCAGATCTAATGGATGAGAAACACTGATTTTTTTTAAAAAGCGCGGTGGCATTTTCGTAAATAATTGAACATCGAAGTGCAAGTAAAATGTATTACAAGTGCATGTAAAATGTATTATAGGTGCAAGTAAAAATTTACACCGAGTATCAATACTAAGTGCACCAATAGTTATAAGTAGTTGCAACTATAGTTTTAAGTAGTTGCATACATAGTTATAAGTAGTTGCACCAAGGTACATGAATGTTTGCGGGTGATTTTCAAGGGTATTACTACCCGCTGAACTCAGATCAATAAATGTTAACAAGGCAAAATTACATGCACTTATAGGTGAAAGTAGGTGCACATATAGGTATAAGTAGTTGCACCTATAGTTATAAATAGTTTCACCTATAGTTATAAGCACACCCAAGTGAATGAATGTTTGCTGGAAGTGAATGCTATAACAAGACAAAATTACATGCACTTTTAGGTGAAAGTAGGTGCACTTGTAAGTGATTTTACTTGCACTTCGATATTCAATTATTTACGAAAATACCACCGCATTTTTTTAAGCTATTAGATCTGGACACGTGTCGCGCGCTGATTCGTTCGCATATTCCTTCCTGGGCACTTATTCGCACCTGAGTGCATCCATATATATATATATATATATATATATATATATAT